AGCTCTCTTTTCATTCTTCTCTCATCCACATTAAAAAATTAATTAATTAATTAACAACCAATCATCTCTGGTTGTTTAGGTGCCAAAAGAGCTCATGGCCCTTGTTTTTCTGTTTTTTTCCTTTTTTGCTGTTGTTTTGGTTTTTTTGTTTTGTTTTGTTTGTTTTGCCTTACCTCCAATCTATTATCAGATTGATGTGATTCTATCTCTAAAATACATCCCAAATGCCTATACTTTCCACCATCCTTAAAAAAAAAAAAAAGACCTGTCTCAGCATTGCTGGCCAGGACAAAGCAAAAGCTAACTGGTCTTGACTTCCTTATAAGTCATTCTCGGTTCAGCAGACTGACAGTTTAAAAATGTAAATTGGGGGCAAACATTTGACAGTTAAGATGCTGCTAGGGTTGGCCATATTCTATGTTGGGGTCTATGATTCAAGTCCAGCTTTTTTTTCCATTCCAGCTTCCTGCTAATTCATATCTAGGAGGCAGCAGTGATGGCTCAAGTACTTGTATCTGTGACACCCACATGGAAGACCTGGATTGGGTTCAGCCTCCTGGCTTTGGCCTGGCCCAGTCCCTGCTATTGTAGGCATTTGCAAGTAAAACAGTGGATGGAAAATCAATCTTTCTCCCTCTCTGCCTTTCAAATAAAAGTGAAAATAAATTTGTATATAAACTGAATGATACCTGATGCTTAACACTATTCAAACTCTGCACACTGCCCTTAAATAACTTGAAGTGCTCACAACAACAAAAAGGACCTTCTTGACCTTGCAAAACCACTCTGACCTCTGCTCCTATTCCAATTCTGCTTCGCTAAGGCAACAAAGTATGCATTAGAATTTTCTTGAATAACAGGGATGTATCCTGAGCTCTCCAACATGGTGGCCACTAACCACAAATGGCTCTTGAGGAACTGTGTTCTTGTATTTTATTTTAATTAGTTTAAATTGTAATCACCTCATATGGCTAGTGGCTACAATAATGAAGAATGCGTTTCTCATACCTGAAGCTCTCTTGATGTCTTTTATTATGTGTCAAATCAAAAAACTTCTGCTCGAGACGTTAGTATCTAAGGTTTTCACATAGCTGACCACTTTGGCTTCATCAGCTCTGACCTCAGATATGACTTTTTTCAGAAAGGTTTTCTCCCAACAATCTTATCAAGCAGTTTTGGGACACCCCATGTGCGCATTCATATCACGCTACCCTGGCTCATTGTATTTATAGCACTTATCATTGTACAACATAGTCTTGTTGATTTATATGTTTTCGTGTTTATCATCTGTCTCCGTTGACTACAGAGTAAGTGCCATGTGAGTAGGATGGTGAGTGTCTTTGCCTCGTTCACTGTGTATCTTTAGTTACCAGAATAGAGTCTAGCACATGGAAGAAGTTCAATACCTACGTGTTGAATAAGTAAACAAAGTAGATGAAAAAATAAATACATGATGGACGATATAAATTGAAATGTATTTTTAAAATACATTAATCCTCCGCCTGCGGCACCAGCATCCCATATGAGGCCTGGTTCTAGTCCCAGCTGCTCCACTTCTGATCCTTCTCTGCTATGGCCTGGGAAAGCAGCAGAAGATGGCCCAAGTCCTTGGGCCCCTGCACCCACATGGGATACCAGGAAGAAGCACCTGGCTCCTGGTTTCGGAATGGCACAGCTCCATCTGTAGCGGCCATCTGGGGAGTGAACCAACGGAAGGAAGACCTTTCTCTCTCTCTCTCCCTCTCACTGTCTGTAACTCTACCTCTCAAATAAATAAATAAAATCTTTTTAAAAAATCATTATGAAATTTAAAGATCGTTTTCATGTATATTTATATTAGTAGTTCTTGAGGATTCTGCTGTCCAAGTTAGACCAATGGGCAAAAACATGCAAATAACACTTTTACAGAAGGTTGCTTAGAAAGATTTAAATTACTCTAGCTATTTAAACTGCTCATCTACTAAAAACATGAGTATTGTGAAAGTTTTGAGAAATTTGTATTGATTACCAGGTGAAATATCCAAAATCCACAGCAGTTTCCTGGTAGACACAAGGGAAAAGGTGATCTAAGTATAAGCATCTGGGTGGCAAGTAAGCTGAGAAATGCAGAATGAGAAATCTGAATGTAAATGATTCAAAAGTCACATTTCACATCATGAACCATGCCAGTTAACAATACAACTTCTGGATTTGAACTTAGTTTTAAAAAGCTGTATTGCCAAGATTTATTTCTTTAAGTATAAACATTTTGTGCTTTAAAATTTTATTTCTTTGTTTTCATTTATTTGAAAAGCAGAAAGAGAGCTGTCTTCTATCCTCTGGTTCACTCTCCAAATGCTCACAGCAGCCAAGGTTGGGCCATGCCAAAATGAAGAATCTGGAATTCAATCCACATCTCCCATGTGGGTGGCAGGGATCCAACTACTTCAGCCATCACCTGCTGCTTCCCAGGGTGCTCATTAGCAGGAAGCTGGATTGGAACTGGAGAAGCCAGCACTGAAACCAAGCCACTGCGCCAAACACCCACTCCAGCTGGTCTTATTTAAATCTTACGATTCACATGTAGTTAACAAAAATGTGCAGAAGCTTCCCTCTCTGCGGAATGCCACCTTTCTTTGTAGTTTCCAAAGAATGAAGTCATTGCTGTGGATAAATAATTGTGAACTAGCACAAAAATGTTAAGGAGTAAATGCACAACATGGGAAGCAATTGTAACCCAGAAAACTGTTACTAACACAGAATCACACAGTCTCTAGCACAAACCACTAGACAGCCCTGTTTCCCTTCTATGCCGTCTACACTGACATCCTCTGACAGAGCTGGCCTTGCCTAGCCACATCTTGAGTGTTAACGGCTGGCTCCACCTTTTCTTTTTTTTAAAGGGTTTTTATTTGACAGGTAGAGTTACAGACAGCATGAGAGAGAGAGAGAGAGAGAGAGAGAGAAAGGTCTTCCTTCCGTTGGTTCACCCCCCCAAATGGCCGCTACGGCCAGCGCTGAGCTGATCCGAAGCCAGGAGCCAGGTGCTTCTCCTGGTCTCCCATGGGGTGCAGGGGCCCAAGCACTGGGCCATCCTCCACTGCCCTCCCAGGCCACAGCAGAGAGCTGGACTAGAAGAGGAGCAACTAGGACTAGAACCTGGTGCCCATTTGGGATGCCAGCGCCACAGGCGGAGGATTAGCCAAGTGAGCCACGGCGCTGGCCTCTGGCTCCACCTTCTCTAAACAACCACTAAGGAAATCAGGGTGGTTTAGGTTCACTGCTTTCCAATCTTGTTCACCTGTGGCCCATGTAGAACATGGTGCTATTTCCTTGTCACATCAGGTAAAAGGACAAGGCTTCAGGCACAGGGCCTGGGGAGATCAAAGTGTCACACACATCTGTAGCTTGGGATATCTAGCTGAGGATTTTTGAGACACCTAGTGTTTGACTCACTAATAAAATATAAAGACCCTTAAGTAGACTGTTAACAGAAGCACAGATTTAAATAAGCATAGGGTTGGGGCTCATATTATGGCAAACTTAAAGGGGTAAATCAAGATGTTAGTACCCTGCTGATTACTGTATAGCCATTCCTTGTACCTAGTTCCAATCATTTTCCCATATAATTCTCTCATTTGGTCTACAACACAAATGCAGGACTTTGGAAATGAGATGCCCTATCATGAACAGACTTAGAATCTAATTCTTTCCTACCATACATTGATATATTCTACATCACATCTGTTATCTTCCCTGAGAATCTCAGGAACTCATCAATCACTATAGCATCTCCTTTCTCTGAATTGGCTGGCCCTATAACCCTTAGAAAACTGAATTATTGCATAATAATACAAATATTAAGTATTTTGTTCAATAATGAAAACTTTTGTGATATCACCATGCTTTTTACATAATAATCTTACATGCATATATACCCAAAGATGACATTCAATATAGAACCGAAGACTTAAGCTCCCCTTGCAGAATTCTTTATACCTTTCATGTCTCAACCCCAGTGGACAAGACTATTTAAGAAGGCAGAAACACTGGGCATAAGAGTAGAGCGTAGAGCAACTGAGCTTAACAAAAGTACTGTGAACAGTTCATTGATGTGAAAATCTGTTTTTAGATAAAGAGAAAATTATAAATACTATGAATAATGAGAAGAGCTTTGAATTTGCTTTTATTGCTAAAGAGTTTTAATAAAATGAATCATTCTACTTCTCAGCATTGGCAAGAACAGCATGACAAGTTTAAGTGAATATTCCTGTGGTGAATGGAAATCTTGCAGTTTTCACACTCATCCTTACAGATAGTAATTTTCTTTTTATTTATTTATTTATTTTTTGACAGGAAGAGTGGACAGTGAGAGAGAGAGACAGAGAGAAAAGTCTTCCTTTGCCATTGGTTACCCTCCAATGGCCGCCGAGGCCGGTGCACCGCGCTGATCTGAAGCCAGGAGCCAGGTGCTTTTCCTGGTCTCCCATGGGGTGCAGGGCCCAAGCACTTGGGCCATCCTCCACTGCACTCCCGGGCCATAGCAGAGAGCTGGCCTGGAAGAGGGGCAACCGGGACAGAATCCGGTGCCCCGACCGGGACTAGAACCCGGTGTGCTGGTGCCGCAAGGCAGAGGATAAGCCTATTGAGCCGCGGCACCGGCCCACAGATAGCAATTTTCAACACGTGTGTAGAAAAAAGTGGTGGTAGGGGGATGGGGGTTGGGATGAATGTGATCTAATTTCTATGCAGTAATTACCTCCAATATCATCCTATTCCGAAAATAGAAGCAAAATACATTGGCAAAAGCCTCAGAGTAATATTTAACCTGATCTCTTTTTCCTTAAAGCTATTTACTTGAATTTTTAAAATAAATGCTATTATTAATATTATTATTAATAATGTTATTATTATTATTATTTGAAAGGCAGAGAATCAGAGAGAGATTGAGATTGGGGGGAGAGGGAGAGAGGGAGAGGGAAATGTTCCCATCCACTGGTTTACTCCCCACATGCCCACCATAGCTGTGGATGGGCCAGTTCAAAGGGAGGAACCAGGAACTCATTCCAGTGAGTTCCCAAGTGCTGGCAGAGATCCAACCACTTGAGCCATCACCTGCTACTTCCTAGGGAACACATTATTAGCAGGAAACTGGTATCAGGAGCTGAGCCAGGAACCAAACATAGGCACTCTGATATGATATGTGAGTGTCCTAAGCATTACCTTAACCACTGTGCTAAACAACTTCCCCCTAACTTGAATCTAAAAACAAAGCAAAAACCCTCTTCCACCAGACTGGAAACAGTCAGACAACAAAAGTAGAAGAGAATCAAAGCAGTGAAACATTTTGTTGTGAGAAAGAGTGGCAGAGAACACACAATAAGGTAAGGGTGGGCAGATTTTTCTGCAACATTAAAGTCATGAATGAATTATAAACTATTGTAGCCTACAAAAACAGGCCTCTACAGAAGAGGAACATCTCAAGTGCTATTTTATAAAGAATTAATTTTACCAAAATTCAAAGGGGATGTGTAATGGTATGGCAAGTATCTATTGTAATGCCTGCCAACTGAGTTACTGATAAGCAAGCAGTCCAAGACCGGGTTCTTACTGACTGACTGCATGAGGAAATAGCATCAGCTCTCCAGCTGCTGCCAGAGGCAGACCTTATGAGACGGGAGAACTTCAGGATGATTTGCAGGTTTCAAGCAGAGCACACATATTGAGAGAAATTTTAGTTACTTGATAGAAAGGAAAACAGAAGTCTAACCTATTTCTGTTTTATATTTCAACCCCTCTGAATTGTCAAGTTTCTTTCTCCTTTGCCTGTAACAGTTCTAATAGTGCCCAAACTGTTCCTTTTTGTGTATGTGTTAGTAGGATGCCGGCAGGTGTCTGTGCTACACAGAACACTGGTCTATACATTTAATCCTGTCTCATATGAAACCTACCCATGCTTCTAAAAGTTAGTGGAATCTTTTGCCCTACCTTATCTATTTTGGTGGAAATTTTAATTAAGTAGTCAAGGGTTAGAATTAGATAACTGATGAAAAGACAATAAGAAAGGAGACAGATAATTTACTAACTGAACAGAAATACATACCCTGAATAATCCACCATTCACTGCCCTTTTCTGTGCAATGATCTAAGGAGAAGGCATATTTAAAACTAGAATGAATTTATAGATTTAAAAGTCATCCATAAAACCCATATGCAATTCTGGAAATATCAAAATATAATAGCTACATTGTGCTTTGCCATTTTAGAGTAATTTTGTATTATTACTCTAATTAAAGTTCACAAAGTGTGTGATGTCAGTGAATCTTATGTTATCATCCCTATTTTACATAAAACAAGCCCATCCTGGAGGGAGTGAGATTTGCTCCAGCTAAGAAAACAGCAAAGATAACACAACCCAGAAGTCCTGACTCTTCACTCCAGTGCTTGTTATTGATACAACGTATCACCCAAGATCACCTGAATCTAAGCAAATTTGTAGGTCACCACCCATCTCTCACCTAATCAAAATACTTACAGCTTGGAAATTTTCAAAGATGGAGAAATCTCACTATATTTTTATTTTTGATTGGAATGCAATTCACCTATCACAAAATTCACCACTTTAAAGTGTATCTTTTGGTATTTTTAGCATATTCACAAAGTTTACATCATATAATGTTTGAATGTTTTTATCACCCCCCAAAAATTCTATACTCATTAGTAGCCATTCCTTATTCTCTACTCCCCCTGGACACCAGGAACCAATAATCCAGTATCCAATATCCATCCTTGTAGATTTACCTATTCTTAACATTTCAAGTAAATGGATTGTGTAGTAAGTGACATTTTGTGTCTGATTTATTATAACTAGCATAGTTTCAAGGTTTATCTATGTTGTAGCCTGCATTAGTACTCATTTGTTTCTGTAGCTGAAAAATATTCCATCAAATCAGTATACTGTTCTTCATATATTCTGGTACAAGCCTATTATCAGACCCAACTCACAATATTTTCTCCCAGTCTTTGAGTTGTACTTTTCACTTTTTTGTCGATGGTATCCTTTAAAGCACAACAGTATTACAGATTGATGAAGCCCAACTTATCCAATATTTTTACTGCATGCCCTTTTGTTTATATTTAAGGAATCATTGCCAAACCCAAGGTCACAAAGATAAATTCCTATGTTTTCTCAAAAGATTTTTGTATTTTAAATATCATTTGATCCATGTTGGATTAATTGTATATATATGGTGTGAGCTGGGGATTTAAGTCTATATTTTTTGCATGCAAACATCCCAGCACAATTTGTTGAACTCCTCCCGCCCCACATCTATTATCCTTAAGAAACAAGTAAGAATTGTAGAACTCTTAATCGTAGAAAGCTTATCTCTTATTGAGATAAACTCTGCCTTTTAAATATATATCCCAGATTTGCTTTTGGAGAAACACTTGTATAACATGAGACTTTGTTCCTTTCTATGCATAACAGGATTTCAAGTATTTGCAATCTTTACCAAGTTTTATTTTTTTCAAGAGAGAATTCTCATTTTACAGAACAATTTATTGGACATAGTTGTTCATTGTTGAATATCCTTACGGTTTTCATGACTACATGTTAATGTCATTCAAGAATGTTCCAGGTCTGATTCTGCTGATGTAGAACAAGACTATTATATTAGTTCCCATGATCAGGGATACATATTTAAATTAATGGAATCTGAAACCAAGTTAACTGTGATCTTCAACTATATCCATATTGTCCCTGATTCTTTAAAATTGAAAGATTTAAAAAACAATAACTTCAGCAAGTGATAATTCTCTCATCTGTTGATTCTTTTATTGTGCACTTCAGTCAGGTAAAGCTGCTGCCTGCAGTGCCGGCATCCATAGGAGCGCTCGTTCGAGTCCTGGCTGCTCCACTTCCAGTCTAGCTTTCTGCTAGGCCTGGGAAAACAGTAGAAGATGGCCCAAGTCCTTGGGCTCCTGCACCGATGTGGGAGACCTGGAAAAAGCTCCTGGCTCCTGGCTTCAGATCGGCAAAGCTCCAGCCGTTGCAGCCATCTGGGGAGTGAACCAGCAGATGGAAGACTTTTCTCTCTCTCTCTCTGCCTCTCTATAACTCTGCCTTTCAAATAAATCTTAAAAAAAAAGGCCTCCTAGATAAAGCTTATAGAGTTGTAAAAGTACATTTTGTAGAACACTGCCTAGCAATTAAAAAGAATATAGGAGAGACCATTTGGCCTAGTAATTAAGACAAAGTCATCCCACCACACAGAACCTTGTTCCATTCCCATCTCTACCTCCTACCTCAGGCTTCCTACCAATGCACACCCTTCGAGGCAACAGGGATGGCTCAGGTAATGGGGTTCCTGCCACCCACATGGGAGACCTGGATGACATTCCTGGCTGTGTGTAGAGATAAGCATGTGCAATTATCTCTAAGAATCTTTAAGTAAATGTAATTAAAGAATACTGTCACTTGACTTGTTGTCCTGCACTACATACCTTTATAATTCTCTTTTTATTTGTAGTTGCATTGGGTCTTTTAGAATATAGGACTGTTTGTTACACTGTCTCATATTATTGCATCTTCCAAAGCATTGGACTCAAAATGGAAACCTAATTTTTGAATATTATAGATTGCCTTAAGGCTGATATTAAGACTAGATTGTAGGGCCAGTGCTATGGTGTGGTAGGCTAAGCCTCCACCACCAGTGTGGCAGCCCATATGGGCACCGGTTCATGACCCAGATTCTCCTCTCCTGATCCAACTTTGCTTTTGGCCTGGTAAGCCCAGGTGCTTGGACCCTTGTACCAACATGAAAGACCTGAAAGAAGCTCTTGGCTTCAGATCAGCCCAGTTCTGGCCATTGCAACCAATTGGGGAGTGAACCAGCAGATGGAAGACCTTTCTCTCTGTCTTTTCCTTTGTCTGTCTATAACTCTACCTCTCAAATAAATAAATAAAATATTTTTTAATAAAGACAATAGTGTGAGGGGCTGGCACTGTGGCCTCCGCCTGTGGCACCAGCATCCCATATGGGCGCCAGTTTTAGTCCCGGCTGCCCCTCTTCCAATCCAGCTCTCTGCTATGGCCTGGGAAAGCAATAGAATATGGCCAAGTGCTTGGGCCCCTGCACCCACATGGGAGACCAGGAGGAAGCACCTGGCTCCTGGCTTCAGATCAGTGCAGCACGCCAGCCGTAGCAGTCGTTTGGGGGTGAACCAATGGAAGGAAGACCTTTCTCTCTGTCTCTCCCTCTCGCTGTCTATAACTCTACCTCTCAAATAAATAAATAAAATCTTTAAAAAAAAAGACAATAGTGTAAGACCACAGAAGAAGTATCAAAATACTTAAATATAATTACTTAAATATAATTACCTGGGCAAACTGTGGGAAACAGGTCATTGGTATCTAGAAATACCTCTTTTTTCCTCTTAAAGGCTTCAACTCAAATACAAAGAAACAAAAGTGCTTAAATGTTTAATGTTTGTTATCCGCCCCCCTCCCCCACTAATATGGATTTCGGAAATGAGGGCCCTGCCTGCACTTCTCCATAGTCAGAGCCTCCCCTGCAGGGAGGGGGCGAAGGCTCACATTCACTCATCAGAGCTGTTCTCTGCCTGAAACGGGGAGGCATTTTTTTCATTCTGCTGAAACCACAGAACTATGGTAACTTTCCACAGAAATGGCAAATTACATACGGAGCTTAAGCTCAAGAGTTGCCATCAACCAAAATCTAGACACAGGGCACTTTAAGTTCAGTCAGAAGAGTGAGGCATAGAAGACAGCAATGTGGTTCTCCCATCCCAGGAAAGGGGTGGCTCCAAATGTATGTGAGAACATGAAAGTTGTCCGCCTCCTCTTCCTCCCTTGGTTTTTTATTTTCTTTTTTGTTTGTTTGTTTTTTGCTTTTCTAAACAGCCATCCAAACTTCTAGTCCATTTACTGTTAAGAATTAATTGACCGTTATTGCTTGAATTTTTGTTATGCGATTAGTATATGTGTAAAACTATAGGTGACACATGACTATGTGTCCTGAAAGTTATGGGTGACATATAGGTACCAGGAGTTGGCTAAAGATCTCAGATTATTCTATATTAAAATGATTCTGTCGTTTATTGTGGATTCCATTCCTATCTCAATTATCCATTATTCTCAATTATTCAAAGGACTGGAAAAAAAAAAAAAAACAGAAAAAACTCTGAAGCTTTAGTCATTGTATAATAGTGCATTAATATTGAGGAGCTTCTGAAGTTTGCCCTCATTATAAAGGTTTATTGAGAAGGGGATTTCTCATCAACAATTACAGTCACATCTCCACAAGAAAGTTATTCAAACAGGTGTTTTGTTCTGCTGGCACATAAAGTAAGAGTACAGGGTAAATTTTCTCCCATAGAAATATTAATTATCCTTCTGAAATTTCCATGCATCTTATTTTTCTACACTGTACTAAGAAGCTCATGTTGCTACCTAGCTGGAACCAGATTGTAGGACACAAGGCTACATCCTTAACCTTATAAAAGTGCCCTGGAATTTTTAATGAGCAGATGTGGTCAGAACCTCAGTCTTCCATCTCGCCCAAGAGAAGGTTCTCCTACAGCACAGTGCACCATAGCCCACGCTGGGGAGTTGGCTCTGGACCACCTTGGGATGGAAGTGGGCCACCAACTGAATCACCGCCACCACATCCCAAAGCATCTCCCATCCAAGCCTTCCCTGGGCCCACCCCTGCTGAACACCCAAGGTTTGACGAGATCACAGCTTTAGAGCATTTTATTACAAATTTTAAATTTCCAGTCTCTGGTTTTCATATTGCATTTCAAGATCAACAACCTTATTAGGAGTAGTAGATTTTTATTTTGAAATTTTATAACACCTTTCCACTGGGAAATTCCAAGCAGGCTACTGAACGGCATTACCACACAGGCAGAAATCCTCACAACACCCCTATGAAGGAGGTGTTAAATGAGAGACAGGGAGAGAGAGAGAACGAGCAAGCGAGCGAGAGAGGTAGGTCTCCATCAACTCCTTACAAAAGCCCAATCCTTAATAATTAATGAATGAAAAGACATCTTGAGGCCAGTGGTCACTGGAAGTAATTGGCATATATTTTCTCAGCTGCCTTTAAATGAAAATGGCAATAATTTAACCAATATATTTGGGCTGACGGCTAAAATAAGTTCCCTCTTGCACCCAAGCAGTAGAGCTAAGTGAGATCTGAACAGACTACTCTCTGTTCCCCCTTGATTGCAGAAAACTCACATGTTGTGCTCAGGAACTGAGTATTTCCAGTGCTGCTCACAATTACGGCTGTCTTGCTCTGTCCTCACTCAAGAGGACAATTGGAAGGACACCAGGTTATATTTATTTTCCTTTACTTCCTTTGCTCTCTCCTCAGGCTTCCCTTATGAGAAACTTTTGATGTCTAAATGAAAATATAATGGAAGCACATTTTGAGTGATAAAAACAACAGAGTCCAGTTACCAAGGTGAAATTGTAAGACATAAAGTCACAGTTTGAACAACAGCACGGTGGCCCCAGCTCATTTCGAATGCCTCCTTTGATAACACATATTTTACAGAACCACTGTGGTAGATGCTGTGGGCTTCCCTAGGCGGTACACACCAGAAACTTCCAATCACTCTTCTCTGCCTCTTCCAGGCTCACAAACATCACGCAGTTCAGACAATGCTAGGCTGACAGATGGTAAATGATTTCCTAAGTATGCAGACAACTGGGGAGGGGAGGGTGGTTGGGGCAGATCTTTCCCCTGGGGACATAGTCATGGTTTCACTACATCTGGAACTTTGGCTGCTACCTAGACACATGGGACAGTAGACCAGGGGGCAAAAAAAGAAAGCAGTCAACCACATTGACAATCACATGGAGATAGGACTTCTGTTGTCAAATGGGAGCAGTAAATGTAGCTTAAATTCAGAATTCACTGAGGTGCCTCAGGGTGCTCGAATCCCAGGGGATAATCTGACAAGATCAGGGCAATTTAGGTCCCTGAGCCCTCAGGGATCTAGGTCTGTATTACAACCACGCAAATGACTTGTGTCTGCAGAGTGTTGACTGGGGGGTTGGGGAGGGGGACTCCATAATGGCAGATGGAAGATGGAGCTGTGGACTTGATGCCTATCTGGCTCATCCTCCTGTTGTCTTTGTTTTAGAAAATATGTGCATTGGGTGGGGGACAAAGGTTGAGATTGGTTACTCCTTTGTAGAGTAGATTTACCTTTGTAGAATAAGAACAGCTTAGTTAAAATCAGGGCATGAGTGGATCTGGGTGACTCAGAGGGTGGATATTGTAGCAGAAGATGATAACATACTACTCATTAGTACTCTTCCCTGTAGATACCTACAGCCCCTTAGTGCAAGCACCTGAGCCTCCCAGCCCAGAGTCTTTCCTTACCAAAAGGTGTATGAATGCACAGCCGTGTTGTTACTGCTTTTGTAACCCAGCTACAAGAGTGTTTTGGCAGAGACAGACAATTATCAAGCAAGATTTACCATTGAGTCAACCATTAAGCATGGGAACATCGAGAGTGGGGCAAAGATTGTACTTAAATGCAAGACAGAGAGAATCATCCAGTGTACAGAAGAAGGAAGGTTAAAGAAAAAAGTGTTAGTTCAGTGATCACACTAAGTTGAATTCAAAGGGCAGAGCATCCTAACACTCAAAGTCTAAGGAAGCTCCCAATCTTTAAATAACACAAAGCAGCCTGGACATGCAGGTCTGGAACAACTTTCACTGCAGACTGCCTTGTGAATAAGATGAACAGACAATGCACCTCTGTGTGCTTCTGCACCTCTTTCTCTGACCCATCCATCTCTTTCATGTCTATGGATACCGTTCTCCAACCAGTAGTTCTTGACTCCTTCCCTACTGTAGTGCTCCAGTCAATAAAATATTGTAGCTACTGTCATAAATCTTTTTAAAAATGTGTATTTACTTATTTAAAAGGCAGAGTAAACATGTATTTACTTATTTAAAAGTGACAGGGAGAGATAGGGTGGAGGGGAGAGAGAGAGAGAGAGAGAGAGAGAGAGAGAGAGAGAGAATCTTCCCTTTATTGGTTCACTGCCCAAATGGCCATAATGGTCAGGGCTGGGCCAAGCCAAAGCCAGGGCCAGGGCACTCCATCCTGATCTCTCATATGGGTGACAGGGGCCCCAGCACCTTGGCCATCTTCTGCTGCCTTCTCTGGTGTATTAGCAGGGAGTTGGATAAAAAGCAAAGCAGCCAGGACTCTACCCGGCACTCTGATATGGGGTGCCAGCATCACAAGTGGTATCTTAGCCCAGTGTACCACAGTGCAGGCCTCTACAGTCTTAAAATCCTACCCTCTAATTTAGGTTTCTGTAGTTTGGTCACTTTGCTTTTCCCTAGTATAGCGCTTTTGGGTACCAGTAATCCAATGAGAGGCGACTCATGGCAAGCTTTGGGACCCTTCCACTCCATAGCTAACTTAACCTTGCTCTTGTCTGAG